TGGGCTAAAGGTAGACTGAAAAGAAAGAGGGAAATAAACATGAACGGATCGTGTAGAGTAGTTTTAACCCCCAGAAGATGAGACACAGTGGCCATGTCAGAGGAGTGGCAGGTGGCAATTGAAGTTTAAGGTGTCAGCCCACCAGGAGGAAACTCTCTGATGGGTCAATGTCATTTAAGCAAGGCTACAAGACCACAGACCCTGGAATGTCTTTTGCTTCTGCTGTGCCTTTACATATTTGTTGCAGCTGTCTTTCTCTGGTACCTGGCATGGTGCAAATGGGTGTGGGGAGATCCCCACTGCCTGTGATGTAGTGTTTTTATCTCATGAAAATTTCCCAATCTCCTGGGCATTTTTATCTGTGGATTGTCAAGATGATTCTTCCCTATGCTGTACTGTCTAATTGATAATGATAACCTATACAGAGTTTTGATGAATAAAAATAAATACAAGGATATGTTTCATATCTAAGGCCTATGAGTTCCACCTAGGAGCTGCTTTAGATCAAAGCTCAGGTTTATGATTAAGGAAAACAATTGAATTTTCCCCCAGGAGCCAAGCTGGCTCTAATCTTCTTAATATTGAAAAGATGCAGTCATGGTTTCAGTGTGCACCATTAGCTGAAACAAAGCTTCAAAATGATTTCAGGTTAAACTAGATAGATGCCTTGCTAGTGGTTTTCAAAATAAATAACCCTAGAAAAGCAATCCAGAGTTTACAAGGGCACATAGCTGAGTTGTCTGATTCATTAAGCTAGGGATTGTAAATACAAAACAGCCTGATCGTTAATTCCTTGCACCCATTCCTGACCTCAATTTTCTGATATGGGTGTATACCCTGAAGATTTAAAGTTACAACAACTGACTGTTTTTTATGTATAAAAGTTCTGGTTTGTGACTCCTTTAAAATTCCTTATAAGATTACCTCTCAAAATAGATAATAAAGTGACTGACTCTTTCTTTGTAACCGCAATTTGAAGCCTGTCAATTATGCTCCTTGCTTGCTCATGATCTATTACTCTGTGACAAGATACTTAGATCTATTGTATGTGGGTTGTCAGGATGACTCTGTTTTTAATCACATAAGGGAGATTAAAAGAAGAACATGTTTTTACCTATAATCATTCACTTAATAATGGAATGTAACCTCTTTGTGACTCTTGTATTACCTGAAAGAGTTTTGGGGGGATATATAAGCTGGAGAAAGACGTGAGAAGACAGAACAGCAAAGGAGAACAAAGAATAAGGAAGGAAACCATCAAGAGAGTGTGTGAGTATCTTTTTCCTAATCCTCTCAGATAGAAAAGTCCCTTTTGTGCCGGCGCTGTGGCTTTTCCTTTGAGCCCTGTGCTGTCTGGAGGCTGGTCCCCCAGGCAGTGATAACACAGAGAATCCACAAATCAGACCCAGTCTGTGTACTTTTGGAGAGTAAAATGAAAGAGTGAGGAGGAGGAGAATAAGAGGAAGAGGAGAAGGAGGAAGGGGAAGAAGGAGGGGCACAAGAACAGAATAGAACAGAGTTGGCCTATTTGCTACATTCAGTTTTGAGCTTCTACATCCCTTCCCAGGCTCTTAGAAGCCCACCTCATCCCTGGGCATTCTTTGTAAACTGAGTTTTCATCCACAAGGCATACTTGTGGGTGGTAATTTTTTCATCTTTGGGTCCTTCTTTGGGAAACTGCAATGCTCGTCCTGGCTGGGTCTTATAGTAATTTTGAATGCAATTGGCCCTATAATCTCATAGGGAGTGGCACTATTAGGAAGTATGGCTTTGTTGGAGTGGGTATAGGAGGAAGAGTGTCACTGTGGAGGTGGGCTTTGAGATTTCCTATGCTCAGGATACCACCCATTGTCTCAGTTGACTTCCTATTGCCTATAAGATATAGGACTCTCAGCTATTACCCCAGCACCACATCTGCCTGCACTCCACAATGCTCCCTGTCATAATGACAATAAAATGAACCTCTGAAACTGTAAGCAAGCCACCCCAATGAAATGTTATCATTATAAGAGTTGCTGTGGTCATGGTGTCTCTTCATGGCAATAGAAACCCTAAGTAAGACAGGCCTCTGAGAGTTATTTACAGGTAGAATCTAAGACCTGACCATACCTCTGAATAATTCTTCTGGAGTCTATTTGTGAATGCTGCCCCCCTCCCAGTATGATATTTCCCAATGTTTAGGGTACTGTTTCGGGCATGTATGAAGGTTCCTTACAGCCTCTGGCTCCCTGGGTTTCAGCTTGCTGAATGCTACACAATTCTAAGTCAAAGTTTTAGCTCCACAATCTAGCTGTGTTCTGCAAATAGTCCTATAACACTGGCCCTGAGCTTCCCAAGAGTGTGGTCTACAGACATCCCATGCTGTCAAGTCAACAATGCAACAGAGACCTTTTTAAAATGTGTCTGCTTCATTAAGTGCCAAGTGCTGAAGCTGAAGTACTGAAAACAAATACTTAGAAAGGAAGGGGTTTTTTCAGTATCTTCATTTGTAGGTGCTGTGACTGAACCAGGTTCAGCTCCCCTTTCTTATCTTTAAAGAGTGCGTTCCTGAAAGCACTATGCAGATGTTTTGAGCCTCTCTGGCTCTTTTTTAAAAGAATAATTTATTTATTTTTATTTTATGTGCATTTGTGTTTTGCCTGCATCTATGCCTATGTGAGGGTCCCCTGGAATTGGAGTTACAGACAGTTGTGAGCTGCCATGTGGGTGCTGGGAATTGAACCCAGGTCCTCTGGAAGAGAGCAGTCAGTGCTCTGAACCACTGAGCCATCTCTCCAGCCCCAGGTTTATTTATTTTTATGTGCATGAATGTTTTGTCTGCATGTATGCATGTGCATCATGTGTATGCCTAGTACCTACGCAGGTAATAAAAGGATGTCGAATCCTCTGGAACTGGAGTTACATGTGGTTCTGATCTACCATGTGGGCGTTGGGAATTGAACTTGGGTGATTTGCAAAAACAACAAATGTTCTTAACTACTGAGCCGCTCTGCAGCCCGAGAATCGTGTTCTGTACTGACAACTGCCGCTGCTAACGGTTCCCCACACAGGCTCTTCTGTTTTTGCAGTTCTGCCCTTTTTCTTCTGTCTTTCTGGGAAGACACTCCTGAGATTGGTGGGAGATGGTTTTGAGAAACCCAAGGGCTGGGCCGAGCACACCCAGCTTATTTCCTGTACCCTGCTCGCTCCTTTCACCGCACCTCCTCTTCTTCAGTTCCTTTTTAAGGTTTGATCCCTTCCCTGCCTTTAAATCCACTTCAAAACTTTGCCATTTGTTCTGCCGTAGATGCTCTTCTAGTTCAAAGCCTTGTTGTCTCCCATGCTGGAGGATGGGCAGAGAAAACAGCAGTCACGGTGCAAAGAGACATAAGAAAGAAGGCTGGAGGCTGACCAGGACTGATTTCTGGAGGGCATGGGGCAGACTCATAATCCTGACATCTTTCTGCATGTGGAGACTACATGAGGAATTCGCTGTAGCTGAAACATGACTTAGGCAATGTGTGACCTGAGTTTCAATAAGGTGCAGGTATTGATGCCTGCCATGACCACCTCGCAGGTCTCTGGTGTGACCAGGATAGTGGGACATCATGCCCAATGCCAGGTAATGAGTTGGCCTGGTGTCTGCTCCTGCTGGCTCCTTGGGCTGATGGCTACAGAGTTCACAGGATGAAGAGAAGCCATCTTATTGATCACTACCATTCTGATAATCAGAAATATCTTCACTTCTGAAATGATTTCAATGTGCTGTCTCAGAGACTATGACTCACCTCTTGAGTCTCCCATACTGTCTTAGGTGAGAAAATAGTTTATTTAGACTCAATAAATTAGAATGAGAAATGGGCTCAAAATGCCTGAGACCACAAAGGTAAGAAGAAATCCATTCTTTCAAGCCAAGGAATCGCTCCTGATGATGTCCAGTGGGGGAGAATTTGAAATTTCACACCATGAATTTACCCTGAGAGAAGAAGACCAGTAGGCAGGAAAAAAAAAAAAAAACAGGACTAAGGTATGGATGTTGGAATTCCTGGCCATTCCCCCAGCTACATGACCGGACAGGGTGCAGTTCAGTAGCTAAGTAAGGGGCCTTACATTCTACATAATCCATGTGCTGCGTGATCGTGTAATTTGTGCGCAGTGTGATCATGCAATCTATGTGCATGCATAGCTCTGTAAACCCATAAGCGCATGTGCAGGGGAATTCATAAGAAGCAGATCACAGACTCCTCCCCTCTCTTCTCTTCCCCCCTCTCTCTCCACACATGTCTTTTCAGCATGCCTGATCACACACTCTGTCCTGTCCCTCCCTCCTCCTAATAAAACTCTTATAGTGGGTTTTGTTGTACCTTGTGGCCTTTCTCGCATGGTAACAGCGCCACTTAATGAATAACACAGCGCTGCATTAAAACCAACAATGGATCTGGTCTCACAGACTTTCTGCCCACCCATGCTTGGATGGGCACCTCTATGTCTTAGCTCCTGACTGAATCTAATGATTGGGTCTTAAGAATCAAAGGTATAGCAATATATTTAATAGGGTGCTTTTTGTGTGAGGAGAAAGTTCATAGCTTCTGTTGGGCTTTCTGAGTGGGTAGCCCTCAGGATGGATTCAAGGTACTCCGGATTCTCCAGCCAGGTGGTGACATATCCCTTTAATCCCAGCACTCAGGAAGCAGAGGCAAGCAGATTTCTGTGAGTTCTAGGTCAGCTTGGTTACAAACAAGTTCCAGAACAGCCAGGGACTATGTGTGTGTGGTGGGGAATAGATCCTTCCACCCCAGCGTTGCTGTGGTGCCTCAAGAAAGAAAAAAAAGCCGGGCGGTGGTGGCGCACGCCTTTAATCCCAGCACTCGGGAGGCAGAGCCAGGCGGATCTCTGTGAGTTCGAGGCCAGCCTGGG